TACCATGATCGATGGTATCGAAAGCCGTTGAGATGTCCAAGAGAACCAGCAGGGTCACACTCCCCCTGTCCACTCTACGGAAGTCATCCACCAAGGCAACCAAGGCCGTCTCGGTGCCGTGACCAGGCCTGAAACCAGACTGTGCCTTATCTAGGTAATTGATGTCATCAAGGAAGCCCTGGAGCTGGAGGGCGACCACCCGCTCCAGCACCTTACCCAAAAAAGGGAGGTTGGAGATCGGCCTGTAATTGTTCAGCACCGTAGAGTCAAGGGAAGGCTTTTTAAGGAGTGGGCGGACCACAGCCTGTTTCAAGTTAGATGGAAAGATCCCTTGCTCCAACGATGCGTTGATAATCAACACAAATCAATCAACCAAGCCCTCCTTGGCAGATTTAATAAGCCAGGATGGGCAAGGGTCTAGGGCCGAAGTGGTCGCCCTCACAGCCCCAAGGACCTCCTCCACGGTCTCAGGTAGAACAAGCCGAAAAGAATCCCACAAAATTGGATGCCTCAGTCACCTCCTCTGGCACTGCGATGAAATTGGAGTCGAGCTCAAGACGTATCTGGGCAACTTTGCCTGCAAAATGGTGTGCGAAATCGCAACACCGAGCTGCTGGGTCATCAGAGATCTCCTCCACCACAGGTGGGTGAAGGAGCTCCCCGACAACCCGAAACAGCTCTGATGACCTGTTTGCTGCAGACACTATACGGGTGGTCATGAAAGATTCCCTGGCCACCCGTATAGCCACGGAGTATGCCTTAAGAGAGGCCCTAGCCCGTTCTTGATCAGACACGTCCCGAGATTTCCTCCACTTGCACTCTAGCCCCCTTCTTGTATGCTTCATCACAGCCAACTCCTCGGTAAACCATGGAGACGGCCTGTCACGTCGCAACGAGATGGGGCGTTCGGGAGCGATCGTATCTATCACCCTGGACATCTCCTTATTGTAAAGATCGCCCAAGGCGTCAACAGGATCGCCAGGGTCCATGGCAGGAAGAACCCCAAAATTCCTCAGGAATCCATCTGGATCCATCAGCCTCCTGGGGCGGACCATCTTAATTTGTCCTCCACCCCTGCGAAGGTTAGGGGTCGCAGCGAGTCTAAAGCTG